ATCATTTAACGTTTAATCATTATGAGATAAATAAACAACCGAGTATATTTCCTTCATGATATAGTTTCTTCTAATCGATGATAATAATCAAAGCTGTTGTAGTCGATTTTTTATATAAAAAAAACAATTTCAACAATTTGTTTTTCGACTAAAGGTGATACGATACTGACTACGTCCCGTATCCAAAAGAAATTACTACTAATTTTTATCCTCTCCAGTTGGTCTTTACTTGGTATCAGATTTCTCAAAAATTAAGAAGGAAAAAACCCTAAATCTTCAAAACTCTCAGGAACAGAAATCTCTTTGATTTTCTCTGCAAAGGTTTAGCGAAAATGGTGTTAGCACAGCTAGGAGGGAGCATCTCCCGGGCTATTCAGCAGACGAGCAATGCTACGATAATCGACGAGAAGGTTTTAAACGAATGCCTCAACGAAATCACCAGAGCTCTTCTTCAATCCGATGTTCAATTCAAGCTAGTCCGTGATATGCAAACTAATACTAAGAAGATCGTCAATCTCGATGATCTAGCAGCTGGTCATAACAAACGAAAAATCATCCAACAGGTTTGTTTCATTTTTCGAAACAATTTATGCCTTTTTAGTTTTATTGGAATTCATAATTTCGGTGAAGTTGAACTAGGAGTGAGGGTTTTATATTTAATTTATTGGATAGAATCTTACAAGTAAATATGTTAATTATGTGATGATTTTGAGAATTTTCTCTTCCTCCATTATTTCCCGATCTTATGATATTTTTTAATTCAATGCTAACACTAATGATTAATGGGATTTTTTGAAGTTCTGATTTTGTATTGGTCCGCCTTTAATCCAACATGTTGATAACATTTGATTTAATGGCTCTTTGCTGGTATTTTATTTTATCTTTTATGTGAACACTTCACATAATTGGTAAACTTTTGATCCAACATTCAGAAAAGAAAATGGTTTGCTACATGCTTTGGTTGTTCTAAACTTCATGTAATTGGTAAACTTTTTATCCAACACTTCACAAAAGAAAATGGGTTGCTAAAAAGGGGCTGCTTTTCTTTTCTATAGGCAATTTTTAATGAGCTTTGTAAGATGCTGGATCCTGGGAAGCCATCTTTCACACCGAAAAAAGGGAAAACCGGTGTTGTGATGTTTGTTGTTTTACAAGGTAAGCTTTGTTAACGTCTTCATGCAGTTTGAATTATGGTACAATTGTTTGCACATTGTTGTGAAACTCTAACTATGTTCCAAATGTGTTGCTAAGACTATGGAATACCTGAATTCTGCTGTTGATTTCTCATTGTTAAAAACTCAGGGTCCGGAAAAACAACCACATGTACAAAATATGCCTATTACCATCAGAAAAAAGGTTGGAAACCAGCTCTAGTCTGCGCTTATACATTCAGAGCTGGTGCTTTTGATCAGTTGAAGCAGAATGCCACTAAAGCTAAGATTCCATTTTATGGAAGGTACTTTCTTCTTTTCCATTCATCATTGTGGCCAATGATTTAAATTGCAGCTTTGGATGTATTTTGGGTAGCTTCACATTTACAGTAGTTACTGGAATAATGAATGCTATTGTGGTCAGTAGTAAATATAAGCAAGGGATATCCATTGTGTTGTGGCTGCTACTATTAGCTACATATTAAAATTTAGAATCTGGATTTAATTGTTTGTTTTACATAAAGTTTGTTTTGATTTGAAGTTTTTCAATTCTTAGAATGGGGATATTTTAAAGCTGACCCTATTTCCATATGTAATGGGGATATGAAAGGAATAATGTGGACTCTAGGTTATTTTCAACAATGTTATGACGCGTGTACCTAATTACTGTAAGGTTTTTCAAATGCATAAAAGGGCATAAGAGGGAAGCATGAAAATACATACATTGAGTATATGTAATACATGTCTACACGCTTTCTCTATGTATTTCATGCTCTTGATGCTTTCCACCCTATTATACTCTCATGACTGATTTTTATTTAATATCTGGAATATATGCTTTTGATTTGTGGTCTTAATTCCATCTGTGGGTTTTAAGTTTAACTGCAGAGAATGTCTTTAATGGTGTTTTCTGCTATTCATGCAGCTACATGGAGTCGGATCCTGTGAAAATTGCTGCGGAAGGTGTTGAAAGATTTAAGAAAGAAAATTGTGATCTTATAATTGTTGATACCAGTGGGCGCCATAAACAGGAGGCTGCCCTATTTGAGGAAATGCATCAAGTCTCTGAAGCAACGGTATTGTTCAGATTTCAGATGTTCATTTTATTTCAGGATAAGTAATGCTAATATCCCCTTTAATTATTTTTACTTTTGTTGTATGTTCCTGAAACCAGATCTTGTTATTTTTGTTATGGATAGTAGTATAGGTCAAGCTGCCTTTGATCAAGCTCAAGCATTTAAACAAAGTGTTGCTGTTGGTGCTGTAATTGTCACAAAAATGGATGGTCATGCAAAGGGTGGTGGTGCTCTCAGTGCGTAAGTGTAATGATTGTTCTTGCCTTTATTTTGTATGTCTACTCAAGATAGTATTTGCATTTCTATCATTAGGTTGAGTTCTCATGATATGCTTGCTTGGTTTTTCTCTTCTGTGGCTTCTACCAGGGTTGCTGCAACTAAGAGTCCTGTCATATTTATAGGAACGGGAGAGCACATGGATGAGTTTGAAGTGTTTGATGTTAAACCATTTGTAAGCCGCCTTTTAGGTATACATCTCCTTTTCCTGTTATGTATTCTTCTCTGTAATGATTGTTCTTGCCTTTATTTTGTATGTCTACTCAAGATAGTATTTGCATTTCTATCATTAGGTTGAGTTCTCATGATATGCTTGCTTGGTTTTTCTCTTCTGTGGCTTCTACCAGGGTTGCTGCAACTAAGAGTCCTGTCATATTTATAGGAACGGGAGAGCACATGGATGAGTTTGAAGTGTTTGATGTTAAACCATTTGTAAGCCGCCTTTTAGGTATACATCTCCTTTTCCTGTTATGTATTCTTCTCAACACATAAATTATGTATTCCAAAATGGTAATGATTGTTGAAACATTGTCATGGTGATTATGATTCTGATTAGGCATGGGTGACTGGTCTGGATTCATGGACAAAATTCATGAAGTTGTTCCCATGGATCAACAACCTGAGCTTCTCCAAAAACTTTCAGAAGGGAACTTTACTCTAAGGATTATGTATGAGCAATTTCAGAACATACTCAAAATGGGTCCAATTGGGCAGGTTATCCTTAACTGCACTCTTTGATGTTTGTCTTCATTCTGCTGCATTTTCGTTTTAGCAATGTTGGAAGTTGGGTTATTCTTCCATGTTTCGTTTTCAAATGTTGATGTGTTTGAATGTTCAGTTTGGTGGTTTGCTCCTGTCTTTAGAATTTAGGAGATATATTGATTTTTTTTTTCATTCTGCAAACTTTTAATTTTTGTGCATGTTTGAGGTCACACATTTTTACAATTGTTGCTATTTGCAGTAAATCATTAATAGAAGTAATTAGCAGATTATAATAAGTTTTTTAAAAAGTCTAAAAGCAGCCCTATTGCTTGATCCGTGACACACTGTCTAAACTTTAAGCTGATAAATATTTTGTGGATAAGAAATAGATATTAAATCTTTGGTATTAGGGGATAAAATTCTTGTAGTATAATCATAATAAATAAGCTTGGGAAGCAAAAGCTGCTCACTCCAACATAAAAATATGTCAAAGAGGTGGAAACCCCTTCAAAGTTCCCGGATCTTAGTTTAATTTCTGTGCACTTGTTAATTCCAACGAGCTAAATGAGAGGTGCCTTGGAAAATTTGGCATGCCTGTTCCATTGTATTGAGAAAATATCAATCTTTTTTCAGTGAAATCCCTGCTTTTTCCCTATCCTGGAAATACTCTCTGCATTTTATTGCTTGATGTATTTACGAAGTTCAATTCAAAACTAAAGTTGTAATCCTAACTTTCAAGGTTACATTCAAGATTCTTATAAAAAAAAAAGGTTACATTCAAGATCACGCGCTCATTACCATGCATTTCCTTTGCTTGAATTACTAGTTTGTTTCAAATAGTAATATTAGATGGTCGTAGTGTGATGTTTAAGCGAATGTTGATTTACTTCCCATTGACCCCGTCAAATGCCTGTGATCTTCTAAATTCCATTTTTTGTCACTTACCTTTCCTCGCTCTCTATCTCTCTTTTCCTTTTTTCTATGAAGTGTATTATTTAATTTGCATGGAAACTTTATGCTAATACTTTGGTTGCTTTCTGCAGGTTTTCTCTATGCTTCCAGGATTTAGTGCTGAACTTATGCCTAAAGGTCGTGAAAAAGAAAGCCAAGCAAAAATCAAGCGCCACATGACCGTGATGGATTCAATGACAAATGAAGGTAAGTGAATTTTCTGCTCTATTCAATTTCTGCAGACATGTAATATTGCTCCAGAACGGCAATTTAATAGGATTATGAGATTTTGTGTTACATGTTCCTGAGTTGGATAGTTCAAACCCAAAGCTGATGAATGAATCAAGGATGATGCGGATAGCGTGAGGATCCGGTCATCATATTCGAGAGGTAATGGAAATGGAGGAGTACAAACGGCTTGCAAAGATATGGAGCAAGATGAAGGGGCTTAAAATTCCAAAGAAGGGTGAAATGAGTGCCTTGTCTCGCAACATGAATGCTCAGCACATGAGCAAGGTCCTCCCTCCACAGATGCTAAAGCAAATTGGCGGTATGGGTGGCTTGCAGAACTTGATGAAGCAGATGGGTTCTAGCAAAGACACGTTGGGGGGGTATGTTTGGGGGTGGGGACTAGTAATTTTCCACATCACTCCATTGCTCCACAATTGACTGCTAATGCAGCATAGGGATTCCCCATGTAGAATATTCATGTTGTACAAACTGTGATTTTCAGCGAAGGCTATTTCATTTTGATTTTGATATATATTTCAACATTTAGAATTAACAGTAATTTTTTCCCTCTGGTATTCATTTAGATGAACAGATAATACAAAAAATGATTTTCTTTTCCATTGCATGTTTCTTATTGCTACTTACATAACATACAAATGGAGTCATCTCATACAAGAATAGATAATAAAATGTGTAGCTGTATGACAACTTGGCAGTATTAAAACAGCAATGAGGAGTATGTTCCATGAATTCAGAATTAAATATCAATCCACTATTTGTTATCACCTACTGTTTTATCTTTACAAGAATTTGCTCAGAACAGTTTTACTCAGAGGTCTCTTCCTCTTCCTCTTCCTCTTCTCCATCATCATTGGTCTTCACGTATGTGCTGAGAGCACATCGTACTACCGAGTTCACCTTCTTCCTTAATCTTGCATTATCAACAAACATATCTGTTAGCATCTTCCTCAACTCGTTGCCGATCCTTTCATCACCATCTTTCATTGTATGACTCTCTTCAGGTCTGGCTACTGAATTTTCTACATCTTGTGCAAGGAGCTGTGCCTGTCCATGCTCAAAGTAGTCAGCTCTGGAAAACTGTTTTATTACAACTAATTACAGGAAGCAATCACAGAAGAAAATGCACATCATCATGCAAACTAATTCATTAGGAAAACTGTAAGAGTAGATATTCTCGGTGCCAACTTAGCTGGTGAGAGCATTACACCAGATGGTAGATCAAAGAATTTCATTGTATCAGTTTTGTAAAGAGAAAAAGAAGATAGTGATTACACCACAAAAAATAAAGAGAAACATTACTATTTCTTATAGACACATTCCCATAGTTATGAAACATCATTCCACCACACCTTAGGAGCGGATCCAATTCAAAACAAGCCTTTTTTCTTATAGCATGAATGTTAAATGGCTCCTTTAAGCCCAAATAATTCCACGCCTATAACATGGAAATTCTCTTCTATTAAACTTTGGCTATATTCTATAAAGCAATAATTTACAACAAAATGGTGTAGCTACTGGTTTAATTGCTTCAAACTATATCAGGTGTACAAAAGATATATATATATATATATCACTACCTTAATACGGTAGACATGGATATAGACAAATGTGCAATCATAGACACATAATTCATGCCAGTTAGAAACAATCTTGTAGCTATCATAGCAGGCGGAAATTTCCAAAAGTCACTACAAATGCCCAAACTTTTTTGAGAGAAAGGGTTCCAAGAGTACTCAAATAGAAAGAGTTCATTATTCTGACTCTGGGTGTAAAGGATACCTCAGCAAGAAGGAGACCAATTCGATTATCAGATGTTGTCAAGAGATCTAGAGCATCAGATGGAGATGAAGTATCAACATTCAACTTATCCTCCTCCTCGCTGAGGAAGTTAACACTGCATTCTTGAAGCCTATCCCAAAGAATACTGCATTCGTGAAGCAGTTTATTGTTTGCAGCATTGGCATGCTTCATCTTTTGCTTTTCCTTCTGCATAACCCTCTGAAAAAAATAATTTAGTTTTAGCTAAAAATAAGGGTAACAAAAGAGAAAACAATCAATGACATCAAACATTGATGGAAGGAGCTTGATACATGATGCACAAATAATCCCTTGAAACCAATTGATTCAAGAGATTATACACATAAGAGTGGCTCCTTTCATGATAATTATAGAAAAAAATGAGCGGTAAAAAGGCAACAGAAATAGCATTAGTATAATTTTTGTGAAGGAAAAGATTGTGGATGACCTCCAATTCTAGTTTTTCTTTCATCACACGGCTAAGCTCTTTCTTCAATTCAGATTGAGAGCTTCGAAGAGATTTCACCTCCTTAACAAGGAGCTTTACATCTGCTTTCGATTTCACCTCTAACTCCTCATGATGGTTTTTTAAGTCTGCAAGCTGTTTTCTAGCAACATCCAAATCTTGCAGCAACATTTTGCTTTCTTTCATCATTGATAACTTTTCTGACAAAGCATGTGCCTTTTCATCCTGGAACGTTTTAATCCTTATTAAAGCTTTTCTTACTTGACTAGAACTATTATGATAAAAAATGTTAATAGCACAAGAAGAAACCTGTTCAGTCTTTAATTTCATTTCCATCTCCAAACACTGCTTCCGAAGTAACTCCATATCCCACTGCATTTGAGTGAATCTTTCTCTTTCAAGCAAAACAGCTTGTTGCATGTTTTCATCACAATTCTCTCTAGTAGTTTCAAGTTCCACTTCCAAATCCTTGACCTACAAAAGAAAATGAAATCAATTCAGTCATCTCATGTATATAATTTACCTTCCTCCAATATGCTAGACAATTCTCTTTCTAGCTACAGAAAGTACGAACCTAATCCAAGCAGAATGGTGGGGAAAAATCATGTATAAACCTAACTGGTTCAAGCTCAATGTCCACACAATTAATACCATTATCATATAACCGTAATCCAGAGCATCCCAGCTCACAAAGACACCGACGGTATAATGAAAGGTTTTCCATGTAATCATTTCAGTCATCAAAAGAAGATCACATGCCGATTAAACTGTATTATCAATTATCAATATATTGTCAGCCTACTTAAACAGTAAAATTAGTTAGTTTTCAAGCCTTCAAGACCCAAAACGATTCACAGGATTTCCCATAACATGCTTCAATGATAGGTCTGTGCAGTTTATTTTGTGAAATTTTTTTCTGTACCAGAAATATCCTACATTCTGTACAAGCAATGGTTAACTTGTGGAGGTTGACTCTATGCTAATAATAACATCCTAATTTAACTACCCAGTACCCATAAAATTGTTTACTGAATCAGCTGCTCTTGCATTCAAGGAATTATTTTTTAGACACTGCCAAATATCCACTATATCATGTTTTGGAACGGCACAAGAATGTTCTTTTTGGCATGCCTGTCCTTGCAAAAAAATAATATATATATAAATATATTAGTGGTTTTTGGCTACTAGGAAGTTGACTACTAGAATAAGTGATATTCTGCTTAAGGTAATCTAATGAGATTCTACACTTTTATCATTTCACACCACACATTCTCTCTCTCAAGAAAATTTTCAATATCAAACACGCAGTAGTTTGAAAGTGCGAACAAAAACCCAGAGTTCAAAAACATGAAGGATCATCCTAACAGGCAAAGTACCAAATAATGTCATTGTCACGATCATAAAAGCTAACAATCTGGCCCCTCTATTCCTTTCATATATTGTTTGGACTAACGTCATAGACTCAAGAAAAATTATTGAAGCATCTTGAGAAGGTAGGGATCAGATTCCCACATATTTAAACCGAGAAAATCCAAGTTCAATGCAATAAGAAGCCCTTTGAGGATTCCTAGTCTTCCTATATCATATGTCAGGCTTTGGCATCCAAAAGCAATCAAGTAAATATCATCAAGGGCTTTAAAGATTCTCAGGCAATCAAAGATCTACAAGCTAAAAAAAACTCTTAATCTTAGAGAATAGAAGATCAAAAAATTAACATGTCCGAATCAAGTCAAAATGCCAATATAAAAGCAAATATGCTATTGCTCGAGGAATGGAAGAGTAATACATATTTCTTCATCAACACAATCATGGAAATAGAAATCGCATTAAATGGGCTTTGACATTCTAACTAAATGAGAATACCTTTGTTGCGAGGAACTGCCTGACTGCACTTTCCTGATTGAACCTTGATATAAGATCTTCGACGTCTGTTTTTGTTGTAGCTAGTCTCCTCTGCAGCGTATTAAGAACCCTTTTTAACTTACGGTGCTCATCTGATAGAAAAAGGATAAGGAAATCTCTATGGAATTGTAAATCTGAGCTCAAAGAATCCAAGGCTCTACAAGCATCAGCATTTTCAGGCAAGTCATGTAACCCATCACCAGACAAATTAGCTATTCCCGAGTTTGATATGTCACTAGCTTGGACGGAACTTAAATCACTTCCAAGGCTTTCTGTTGAAAATCTTCGAACATGGCCATCCATTTTGCAATGCTCTAGTTCAGAAAAATGCTCTGCTCCATCTCCATGAAGAAATCTACCGTCAGCAGTATTTCCAGTTATTTTATCTCTTGGAATGTCGCTTTCTCCTCCCAAAAGCATTTTTTGCTTGGAGATCTTCTCTAGGTTTTCTAGAATAAAATTCCTGTTAAACATGCCATAATTCGTACTTCTCTCCAAGGGTTCAATCAAATTTGGTTCCAAAGTTACATGTTCCATGGAAGGACCAGCAGAATTGCCTTTTCCTCGCCTTGGGGTTCCAAGCTCAAATTTCTCAGAAGAAACATTATCAAGATCAGATGCATTATCAATATCTAAGTTGGGCTTGGTCAGAACTGAAGGAACCACACTACTGACAGAAGAAACTGCATCCGCTTGATCATCGTCAAATGCTGTAACAAGACAAATCATTTAGATCATGGAGCATAACTTAATGTGAACCTATAATCTAAATCCCAACTACACATACAGGCTGCAGTTAAAGGTGAAAAACATATTCATCCATTTACAAGAGGCATCAAGAAAAACTTACAAGACCTTGCAGCGGCTTCTAGCTCAAGAAATGTTGCCACTGAAACACTTCTGGAAATATCAATATCTGATAAAAGTTTTTCCATCCAGTCCTCCAAAGAACACCTTCTCTGCGATAAACTAACCATTTAGAGAATGTTCTTATTCCTAAAAATATATCTTAAAAACTAAGCTCATTTCAAGCATTATCAAAAGGATTGTTAAGGACTGAACAAAATTCAGCCATTCATAAACACAACCAATAATCCTACAATGTAAGTTACATTTTACCCGGATTGTTAAGTACTGAACCATGCATGCAGAGAAAACATGAGATAATTTTTTAGGTTGCATAACATAATTAATTTCTTCTCCTCTGTCTGCAAAGGAAAATAAACAAACATATTTTAGCTTACCTCCTCCAACAGTGTTCTGTTTTTCACCCTCAAAATTCTTTTTGGAGGAGCTGGAGGCAGATTTTTATTGGGAAATATCTTCTTAAGCTGTGAAACAGTTGGAAAATGAGAAATGCAATAAAAATAACCAAGCAAATGAATCAAAATATGGCAAACTTTTCCAGCTCAAAAAATAGACATATTTAACCCCAAAAGTAAAAGAGAAAAACATAACTGAGAAATTCTAAGGCATATGAGAACATAACAGCCAAAAAACATGAGATACAAAGAAGACAGTAAACATTCTCAGATGATAAAAATTATGTGCAGAAACTTACTTCAAATAGTAGCTTTAAGAAATCACTATATCTTCGTAATATTCCCCGGGTGGTAGTGACACCTTGTGGTGATTGAATGCCAACTTGAACCTTGTAAAACTGTCATCGATGAATGTTAGGTACAAAATAGTTAAAGCAATTAGTCCACAACTAGAATTTAACAACCACAAAAATAAGGAGAAAAATCACCCAAAAAACAGTAAAAAAGAATCTCTACAGGGAATACACACTAATAATAACATGCAAAAAGGGAAAAAAACATAAATATCACAATGTTTGCAATATAGATGACCAGGATGTTAAATCATATATGCATACCCACTATACCAAAGATTTTTCAACTATTTTTTTCCTTTCTTGTCATTTTACTTTTGATTGGTTCGGTTGGTTTTGGTGTGAAGCTTCTGCATTACAGATAGTACCATTAAGCAATTTATTATTTTAGTCTTACTGATTGATTATTAGAGATATAAGTTATCTTCAGAGTTCTAATTTAGGGCTATATTAATAGACTTCTGACACTAAAGATTTATCTAACCTAAATTTTCTAAGAGTTCCAACTTCTATCTTACTCGTTTATCATCCATAGTTCTATTGATTGCTCCTGTTTCCTGTCTCACCAGACCAGCCTGTCACAACTCCTAAAGTGGCTGCAGTATTACGACTAATTGCATAACTATTGGCTAGTGACCTATATTAGCCAACCCAACACCTTTTAATACGAGTCTGCATTCCTACATATATATTCCATAAGGCTCACAGCTAGATGAAAGAACAAACACATAGAAAATGAAAATTCTGATCTAATTACAATAGCTAAATACTTCTAAGAGAATTAAGTAGTACCACAACAGAATCTGAACCTCGGGATGTTGGAAGAAGAATCCAAGAAGGAATTCTAACGCAGTAACTCCACCCTGTCTGAGGGTTGTGAGGCCAAACAGTGTCCCGCCCATTCTACATTGAAACTCAAATTAAAGAATGTTATAGGTGAACATGAACCAAATTTCCAAAAAAAATGCTACAAATAAATAAAACTTCCCAGCTACCAATGTTAATGACATACTACATAGCAGCCAACTAGCCAGAACCTAATCAACGATACCAGTTCAATGAACTGGAAAAGATTCATTCAGCATAACATACAATGTTAAGAGTAAGCGAACAGAAAATCATTTTCTTAACCAGACACAATGGTAGTGTGATTCACTTCGTTCTTTGGAACTTGACAATTAACTGGAAAAAAAGAGCCTTATATGACAATCAGTAAAACAAACAAAAAATTACTCTAGCGCATCAACCTTCCATATTCATGAATCAAAGCATAAAAAATAGACATTCCAATAGCAAGCAGCTCCACTTGTTCTCAATTCTTATTTTCAAGTCAGATCAGCAATTAATTTAAAAAAGGGGGGAGGGGATAGCGACCCCCGTCAAAGGTAACCTCTTATACTGCTTCAACTTTGAACTTTTACCTTCTAAAGCATCCTCCAATTGCAAGAATATATGTTATTGAGCTCAAATTAATTCAAAATGAAATCCTTTTTTTAAAAAAAATTGCATTTTGAACATCAAAATTCACTTAAAACGAAAAGTGAAATCAAGAAAAGAGGAAATACCCATCTTCGAGGAGGTAAAGACCAGTCCATTCCCAAAGGTAACGGCGAGGTCCGATCATGGCGGTGCTTTGGTGGACTCTTACTTCTTTTATTTCCACCATCAGCAACATCGTCATCACCATGATCACTGCCATTAGAATCACTGTAACCTCCGATTAAGGAACCGAAAGATGATTGGTGGTCGATAATTGGATTATCAGAGAAGTTGGTGAAATCAAATAAAGACAGATCATGAGCGTATAGATTCATCGTTTTTGGATTGAGTTTCTAAAAATTGAACTATGATTCCAAAGCTTTATGTTCCCCTTTTGCTGCACTTCGTTTCAGGATTTGGAACAGATCGAATTTATGGATTTTTTATTATCATTAGTATTCATTTTCCAGTTTTATTTTCACTAGTTTGAAGTCTCAACTAATTGTCAAAAGCTGGCTTCCGGAGAGTTGAGTAACAGAAATGTTTAGGTTAAACTACAATATTAATCATTGAACTTTAGTTGTTGCCTTGTTTTAGTCATTGTCTTATAAAAGGTTTTATTATTGCACTAAAATTTTTCAAATTGATTTTTCAGTCACTGAATCTATATTATTTTAACACATTTAGACTTTAAGTTATATCCGCTATTCTTTTATAGAAAACTCTAATCTCGTCTTATCTTTGTTCATTGTTGGTCATCGTTCTAGATAAGATTGATATTAAAATATTATATTTATATTTTTTTTCCTAAAATCATTTTTTAAATAGATAAAATTTATCAAAAAATTCGACATTCTAATGCTCTGATCTCTTCTAATATTCGTTTGATGAGACTAGTTTGAGATATGCTATTTATCTTCTTGAAATATTATTTCTTATCGTTAGGATTTTTAGATGGACTCTTTTACTCCTCAAATCTAACAGTCCCCAAACTCTCCAAAAGAGAACTTTATGTTTAATTTCATAAAATTTAAAGAAATATTAAAAAAATATAATTAATAAAGTATTAGAAGATGATAAGACAATAATATTAGTGTCTAAAATAATTGCAAAAAAATATAATACAATACAATTTGTAGACAATGATTAAAAATAAGAAACAAATTCTACGAAAAAAATGATCATATCAAAATAAGAATGAATAAAAACATTTTTTTAACTATTATGTCATTATATATTAATAAAAAAAACTATCACAATATCATATTGTTAGAAATTTAATGATTTAACAATTAACATAAATATATTTTAGAACTTTAGTGTTGTAATTAAAAAAACATAATTTAAGGATCAAAACGAAATAACATTTAAAGCTCAATGACTAGATTAGGTATGAAAAAAAATCCAGAGAAATCGAAACTTTTAACCATTTAGATTGTTTATAGTTTTATAAGTTAAAAATTTTGTGTTATCCCCACAAACACAATTGTGATGAATTGATGATATGACTTAACAAAAATGCTGACCATAAGGTTCGAACTCGCACGCACCTATGTGCAGTAGATCTTACCTGTCAAGCAACTAATGATAGCTCTGGAAACCGAAATCTTATTGATGATACTCTTTTTTTCCCACTTTCCCCCTTTTCCCTGCTTGATTATGGGATTTCACTTTTCTTTGTCTCAACTTCTTCCTTGATTAGTCGATGAATCAAAATCTATCCCTTTTTTTTGTTCTTCATTTTTCTTTTCTTTTTTTGCTTTTTTTATGGTTGTTAATAGCTACGATATTATGTTTGGTTCAAGATTTGGGTTAGATCTTAGTTTAGACAATATGCACTAATTCAAAAGTATTGAAGACAATATGCACTAATTCAAAGGTATTGAGTTTTATGATGGTTAATGGTGGCAGTATAATGTTGGAGGTTGTGTCCGATTTGATAATGAGGAGTTATTGAGGGATTAAAATAATTTTCAGGTGTGTGAAGAATTTCATGGTGGTGAATGAAATAGCGAGTGGTGGTGGTGAAGTTTACTTGAATTGCTATTGATCTAGGCAGTGGCGGATGCACTAAGCATAGGGCCCAAGTGCATCCCTATTATTTTGGAAAAATTGTTAAATTTAGTTTAATGTGTTAAGGAAAAAAGAAAAAAATTACAATTTTGTATACCCATTATTGTTTAAAAAAATTAAAATTTTGGATCCCTATTCTTAAATTTCTAGATAGGAATATAGGTTGTTAGTTGATAGATTTGTTTTGACGTTGCTTTTGGTTCAAATAAAAATAGTTCATTTGGATTGACAAGCGACGAAATAAATGAAGATGACCAGTGATAGAATGGAATGTCTAATTCAATGAGAAAACATTAAAAATTATATAAATAAAATATTAGTAAAAGTTTACGCGGCAACTAAATACTAATAAAAAAAATGACATGTGATGACAATGTTAGAAAGATTATAGGGAGTGACAAAAAATCAATTTTTAAAGTTTAGTGAATAAATTAAAAAAATTTAAACTTAAATGACCAAAATAGGAAAAATAATAAATTTCAATGATGATTTGTGTAATTTACTATTTAAAATAATTATTCACATGTTTTGTCTAATGTTCTTAATAGTCATTAAAACACATAAGCACCAGCAGATTAGAACTCAATCACGGTATCGACTTGGTTTGATTCTCGGCTGGTGTATCTTTGCCTTTGGAACTATAAGGTAATTTTAAGTATTGATTTTTGTAAAGGTATTATGTATATATTATTTTTAAAAATAATATATTTAATTTTAAATTTATGCTTTTAGATTAAATTTAGACTGTTTAAATTTATCAGGCAATATATAACGACTGTTTAATTCAATGAGAAAACATTAGAAATTATGCTTTAAAAAGTGTTTTATTATTGTCACCATTTTCTCGATTACACTTTTATTAGATGCCGTCGTTATATATAAATGCTTGTTACGTCTAATGAATTTAATTAATTTATGCATCAACATCAAATTTTCTTATCAATGAAATCAAAAGCACCAGTGGTCTAATGGTAGAATAGTACCCTGCCACGGCAGACCCGGGTTCGATTCCCGGCTGGTGCATATGTGGAGCTGTGATGATAAATGATTAGTTGAAGGTAGGGCCCTTCTAGTGCTCTGATTACCAGACGAGCAATAAGCGTTTCTGAGCTTCCATCCATTTTGTCTTTTTGTTGATGTTTTTGATATCGTTGTTTCTTTTGATGTGTGGTTTTATTCAGCTCCATTTGCTTGTAACAGGTTATGGCAGATCTAATCTCTGATGATGAGTTACAGGTCTGAAAACATATCCCGTTCATCTCCATAAAATGTTACCGTTCACCATTCATGTATGTACCGCAGGCGACTTCACACATGCAGTTCGGCATGGATGGCAGATCTTATAACTTTCGAGGATTGATGATATACACAAAACCAAGTCGAAAATGAAACAAACCTGCCATCTTTCATGTTGCACTTACTCAAACATGCTTCAAAACCTGCAACGAAATGTTTCATGATCACACTTGAAACCCGTGTTTCCACTACTTAAAAAGAGCAAAACACATTTTATTAAACCCTTGGTATTGTACCCTTTCTTTTCCATGAAATAAAAAGCTTAAAACAATCGTATGTATATCTTAATCTATAAAAATGAGGGTAGGAGACCCTTTAGAATATGGTTACTGAAGCAATTATACGAGAAATTAATTACATTTCATACTCAACTACTTAGGCTAATTGAACCAAACCTCAATTACAAAGGATGGGTGGATAAGAAAGGAAAAGGGAGACCAATACCTTTAGTTTTAAAAGGCGCAAAAAGTTATATGGAGCCTAGGCGCAGGGCAAAGGTGCGCACCTTTCATAGGCGAGGCGCATTTTATGCATTTATTGTTATTTCTATCCTAAATATACACTAAACAGAACCAACAACCATAATCTACCCACAAAAATGCCTAGAAGAACCTTAGAAGCTTAACAGCCAACCAACACCCTTAAACCTAACCCACAAATATACCGGATTTTTTTAAAACAGAATGTTGGTCATTTAAAACGGGCTCAAAGGCCAAAGGAAAAGCTGTGAAGCATTAAAGTCATAGGTTACACCAAAAGGTGCCTGGGAAGCCAAGAAAGTAGATAGTTATAATGGCTCTCTTAAAAACTAAAAGCTTCTACCTCGTGAACTCTATTCAAAGACTCTTCAAAAGCTTGCAATGCAACTTTGTAATGGTGTAAAGAAATTGTCCCCTCCTCCACGACTTGCAAGGCACTTCTATACTACTGATTAAACCATTGCAGGTGATCAACGGCATCAACAGTATTGGAACCTTGATCCGGAACATAGAAGCGCTTGTAATCCTTTTTCCATTGCAAGAGAACGTACTTGGAAGGGACTTCCTCTGCACCATTGAAGTTAAGCTCGCAGAATGCATGCCGGCATAGATATTCGTAGAAATTAAAGCAACTGCAGATACATCTTTCACTGGCTGTTCTGTTATAAAGTACTTCATAGTCTCTAATTTCTCTCCTATTTCCTTCAGCCAAGACTCGCTCCTTGACCAAGAAGATGATTATAGACCCATCAGCATGTAACTGCGTTGTATTAAAACAGGAATGCATCTCCTCTACCTCTAAATGGAACCTCTTGAAAATTGCTTTCGTGTACAACTAGGAGAGTTGCAACTCAAAGGAGCATCTTGTTTTCAATGCAGGGCTGGAGTTTCTCGACTCAATATCAGCAAGAGTTTCTCCCTTGAGCTTCTTTTGTAGTGCCAACTCGTACTTATCAAGGAACTCTTTCAAAGGATTTTGTTTGTGCACATATTTATCAAAAAAGGGACTTAAATTCTCACCAGGTCTCCAAGCAGATAGTCCAGCAAAAAAATGTGTCATTTAGATAAACTGGAGCCTACCGAGTTCAATCTTCACATAATGATCGTAGCCATTCATTGTCAGCAACACCAAAATGCAGGACCATAAATCCCCATATGCTTCAAATTCAACCACCTTAAGTGTTTCAAAAACTGCCTTGAAAAACATCTTTCTGATTGCATCATAATTATGCAATCCTCCCAATTTTTCAGGAACTCTTTTCATTATAAGCGACAAACTGAAGTGATGATTAGATTTGGGAAACAGCTCTGCAATTGCATTCTGCAAAGCCTTGCAACTGTCTGTAATAATGGTTTGAGGACTCTGTCCTGAAACACACGTAAGCCATGCTTTGAATATCCAAGTATAAGACTCGGATTTCTCACCGGAAAGTAGGCCACAACCAAGTAACACAGTTTGTCCATGATGATTTACTCCAGCAAATGCCACAAGGGGAGTCTCATATCTATTTCACAAGCCAGTGTTGTCAATATAAATGAC